TATTGATGAGATCTTTTTAAAGAATAACTTTTCATTCATGTGTGTGAAGATGATGTAAACTATTGATGATGAACAGATGATGAGTGATAATTAGATGAAACCATGAATTAGTGAACACTGTTTCCTCCAGTGACTCCACACTGAAGATGAATGAAGCTGCTCCACTCATTCAGCTCCACTTACAGCGCCACCCACAGGTCCCAGGAGCTCACAGCAGCCTCTCACACCGCATATGGACAGTGAATCCTCCACGATCTGAACATTCAACCCAGAGACTGGATGTAGATGCTCTGCTCTCTGCGGACCAGAGTTTGATTGATGGACAATCATATTATATTTGTTTTATTTATAGAATAAATCAGCGTTCGTGTTTGGTGCAGAGGGGCGTGCGCCGTCGCAGCGTGATGTCGTCATGTTGCCTTAGAAACAGCAGCGCGTCGGCTAGCTACAAGCTAACTGTGTTAGCTGTTAACGTTGTGTTTGTGACTTCGTAGCGTTTCTTTTCTTTCAACGAGTCGACGGAGCTCACGTGTAACCGGTTCACGACTCTTCTCTCACCCGCTGAGGTGCAGTGACTGTCGGATACACAACGAACCACAGTCGCCTTGTGGTCCGAGGGGAGCTAACAGATGCTAAAAGGTGCTAACAGATACAAACAGCTGCTAACAAATGCTAATAGCTGCTAACAGCTGCTAATAGCTGCTAACAGGTTCTAATAGCTGCTAACATGTGCTAACAGATTCAAAGGGCTGCTAACGGATGCTAATAGCTGCTAACAGGCGCTAACAAGGTGGAGACGATGACATGAGTGAGATCAGGGACGTGTTTCTCCTGCGACACTGATGTGACCAGTGAATAATATCATGTCTGTGTTCTTCGCATGTTTTCATCTGATGTGACGTGTGTGTGTTGAACAGAGAACATGGAGTCTGTGTCAGAGCTGAAGAAACATCTGGAGGATGAAGATCTGAACCTGCAGCAGAAACTCGTCCTGCTCAACAGCAGCGTCAGCAGTGAGACAGTCTCCTCCATCATGTCTTCACCTGCTCCTGATCTGTCCATGAAGGGAGCGGAGACACTTCCACACACGTGGGATTGTATTTGGCTGAATGGTTCTTAGATCATGAAACTTTCAGTTGATTCATTAGTTCTTTATCCAATAATTCATATATTTGTGTATTTGAACTTTGAATATTTGTTCAGATTGTACTCAGTTTCTGTTTTTATACACGTCCTCTGTTGTTGAAGCAGTTGTGTGATTGTCGTGTCCACACAGGACGTCCTGTGTAGTTAGAGGTCGGAGGTACTTTTGAACCTCATGCTCTCGTGTCTCTGTCAGACGCCCTGAACGTGGCGGCGCTTCAGACCGACAGTGGTGCGTTGCCTCGTGTGAAGTCTGAGCTGTATCGCAGCGGCGTCCTGAGTCACTGCGTCCTCGTCCTCGCTCAGGATCCCAGAGAGCTGAGGGACAACTGGAGCGCAGCCGCCACCCTGGCCCAGCTCACCAGGTTCTCCTCATACTGCACATTCGTCCATTAATCCTAATTGTTTTTGCATTATTCTAGTTTTCTTGATATATTTCCTCAATATACTTTATACCTGAGTGGATTCAAAAATAGTTATATGACTTTTCTAATTTTAAAACTTTGAATAGATTGTGAGTGTTTTATATATTTGGTCTTATTCCAGGTGAATGTGATGCAGTGTCTGTCTCTGTCTCCTCAGCTCCTGCTGTGTCGGCTTTGACCCTGGTGACGATTCAAAGGCCTTTTATAGGCTCCTCCTTCCGTCAGTCGTGGACGGCCTCCTGTCGCTGGCCAGTCGGCTGATGAGGCGGGGGGGGGTGAGTGAGACCTGAAGCTTCACAGTCGAAGCGTCTGAAGTGAAACTGATCAAACGTTTGTGTGTCAGTGTTTGTCTTTGTTCAGGAAAGTGATGGATGCAGTCGTGCGTCTGCTCGGCGTCCACACGCACGTCACCGCTCAGGGTCAGTCAACGCCCCCCCCCTGTTGATTATTGATCGATGGAATCATGGGATTTATAGACTGAGTAAAACTCTCTCTCTGTCCAGTGCTCAGCTCTGTTCACTATGAGCAGATCCAGATGTGTGACGACGTCACCGTGTCTCTGCTCTGTGTCCAGATGTGGATTCAAACCTGCACAGTCAACAGGTGGCGCTCATGAGTAAACTGTCCACTGATCATTTGTGTTCATTAAACTTAATGAAACACATTTTCTGTTCATAAGGTTAATATAAACCCCTCCCACTCTGCAGGAACTTCCTGTCCAGCCTGACTGACGACTCCATCCTGTTGCTGCTGAACGAGGTCGTCGGCCAATTAGCCGTCAGCACCGACGTGGCGGTGGGAGGGGCCTCCGTCCAACTCATCCTCCTCATGGCCAATCAGCTGCAGCTGCGCTTTAAGCCCCTCCTACTCAACTTTAGAGGTCAGAGGTCACACTTGTGATGACTCACGGTGGCAGGAAGTTCTGTTAAGTTAAATGAACAGAAGGTCAGAGGTCGCTCTCTCTCTCTCTCTCCAGGACTGGACGAGCTGCTGGACAAAGACTGGAGGGGGCGGGGCTTTGACCAGGATGTGGACCAGCTGATTGAACTCATCCAATCAGACAGAGGCACGACGAGTCCCTCTCAGGTCGGTCTGTCGCTTTAACTGTGTGTGTGTGTGAGTGAGTGTGTGTGTGTGTGTAAAATCAGGTTTGTACGTGTCATTATTCTCCACCATGTTGTTTTGAAGTGAAGGTCGGTGAGCAAGGTTGAGTTAAAACACTGGATTCTTATTGGACGGCCCGATGCCCTCTGACTCCTCCCCCCTCAGGTGAGTGCTGAGCGTGTGCGGGCGGCGTGTGTGATCCAGGCGTCATGGAGGTCGTATCAGACCCGACGCAGAGTGAAGAGTCTGAACAGAGCTGTTGGTTCACTGCAGAGGAGATACAGGTACGAGCAGCTAACATCTGTCTGCAGCTGCAAACTTTACTTTTATTATAACACAGTATTTACAGTGTGTGTGTGTGTGTGTGTGTGTGTGTGTGTGTGTGTGTGTGTGTGTGTGTGTGTGTGTGTGTCAGGGCTCGGAGGAGGCGGCAGCAGCAACAGAAGGAGGCTCAGCAGTGGGAGGAGGAGCTTAAGTATCAGGTGAGTCTGATGATCAATTGCCCCCTCGTGTGTAAGCCCCGCCTCCTCTAAAGTAAAGATATGTTTAATGTGTGTGTGTGTGTGTGTGTGTGTGTTTTAGGTGTGTGTGCGACGGCTGCAGGCGAGGAGGACGTTCCATCAGAAACAGAGACAACTGCTGCAGCTTCTTCCTCCTGGTAGAGAAATGTGACTCGTGTTCTCCGCTGATGAAAACTGTACTGATGTAATAAAATTATGACCAACACTAGGTTCTGTTCTTTAGAGCAGGTGCAGTCGTACCTGCAGGAGTGTGAGCGGCGAGCGGCGGTGGTGATCCAGAGCTTCTGGAGAGGCTCCAGAGAGCGACGCAGCTACATCAGCTCACAAAGAGACGATCTGAGGCGACATCGAGCCGCCAGGACGCTGCAGAGAGCGGTACTCACTCAGGAGGACGCCACCGCCAACTCTCACCAAAACAAACACCTGACTCATGATGTCTCTCCTCCCTCTTTCAGGTGCGTCGCTTTCTGCAGAACAGACGAGCGACAAAAGCCCCGCCCACTGCACCTTTCTGGATTGGTCAGAAAGGTTTGACGGACAGTAGGAGGGTGGAGCTGAAGGCTCAGGTGGAGGAATACATCGCTGAGCATCGAGTAAGATGAGAAGAGAAAAACTGTAAATGTCTTCTCCAGACTGAGACCATCGTCTGTCTCTCTGTCCGTCCTCCTGACTGTCCTCCTGTCTCTCTCTCTCTGTCCGTCCGTCCTCAGTCGTCCCGTGTGTCTCTGGACGAGTGTGAGCGTCTCCATGAGGAGGTTCAGCTGCTGCTGCTGTCGGAGCTGCAGAGAGGAGATGAGCGGAGGAGGGAGGAGCAGAGGATGGAGGCGCTGCTCGCTCACACACACACTCAGCTGGAGCTGCTCAGAGGTACACACACACACACACACACACACACACACACACACACGTGATCACAGTTTGTGGGCGTTAATTAAATATCTGACTGACACAGTCTTCTCTTTTACCACAGACGCCCCGCCCCTCTCTGTTGTCACGGCGACAGTTGCAGAGTCCTTCCTCAGCCCCTCGGGTCTCTGTGACGCTCGCGCCCGTGACGCCCACAACGCGACGCTGCGGGCGAGCCGGCTCCCCTGGTGGAGGACGCTGGGAGAGCCGGTGGACTCGCTCGACCCCGCCCACCTGCGGGAGCTTGAGGCGGAGTTCGGAGGACTGTTTGTCGGCGGGTCAGCAAACATTTGACGTGAAGACGGAGCTGAAGACTCAGATCACACGCTGACGAACACAAGACGTGACTGCGCTGCCATCTAGTGTCGTTATTCAGAACTGACTCAGAACATGACTCGTTTAGTTTTAACGCTCATCGCCGTTGCTATGGTTACGCCAGGCGGAGCTTCGGAATCAGACTAAACGCTGCTGATCTCGTGTTAGTTTGAAAACCCGCCCTCGTTCTCTTCCTGATCGGTTCTCATCAGTCACATGACTCGACCGCCAGGTGACCACCAGGTGACTCAGTTCTGAGATGTGATGTCATAATGTGTGTAATTGTATTCATTGTATTGTTGCTGCAGTAACAGTCTGAGCCAGCAGAGGGAGCTGCTCCCTCACCACAGCACTGTGACGCTTCTCTTTTATTGTCACGATAAAGTTTTTATGAAGCATTTGTTTGTTTTTATTGAAACATGTTTGATCAGTGAGATGATGAATGACTGTTGACATGTGTGTGATGTCAAACACGCGTGTTACATGTGCTGTGGCTCATCATTGATTATTGATCAGAGCTTCAGGCAGCAGATGTTACGTAAGCAGCTGTCGCTCTGTGCGGAGGGAAACGACTGAAGAGAACGAGACCAGAGACCAGGAGACCAGAGACCAGAGACCAGAGACCAGGAGACCAGAGACCAGGACACCAGAGACCAGGACACCAGAGACCAGGAGACCAGAGACCAGGAGACCAGAGACCAGGACACCAGAGACCAGGACACCAGAGACCAGAGACCAGGAGACCAGGAGACCAGAGACCAGAGACCAGGAGACCAGAGACCAGAGACCAGAGACCAGGAGACCAGAGACCAGGACACCAGAGACCAGGA